TTAGGAAACATGCCCAAGATTTCACAACCAGTAAATGGCATAGCCAGGATTCAAACGCAGGTATCCTGGCTGCAGACTCCAGACACATAATCACTACTCTGCCTCTAAGATTCACTCAATGATGTGATACAATTATTACATAAAGCAGTAATTGCATAGGTAATAATTCTTCTGAGCCGCAGCAAATAATTTAGGGAAACTTTTATGCATTTTTCACAAAGGACTTTGCATGCATTTGCAATAGTGGTGTTGGGAAAATAAGCATATAAAGGTCAGAGGGTATCCTTGCTTCTCAAAACCCTGTTTCCACCTGGTGAGAAATTATAAACTATTATCCCCTTTCCAAAAACCAAACACCTGAACCAAGTAACATGCAAAGGCACGTCCACAGAAAAGCACTCCACATAAGACACAGAAAGCTTTTAATATCGTCGAGGAAGTTTTGCAATTCAAACAACACACAAAACCGCATGACTCGGCAATTCTACCTCTAGGTAGAGCACCCAAGACAACTGAAGACAGGTATTCAAACAAAATACTCCGGGCAGCACTAGCCACAATGATGCCATTCACAGCAGCCAGGATGTCTGTCCGCAGATGAATGGATAAACAAAAGGTATCGCCCTGCAATGGAATAGTGTTCACTGTCTAAGGGACTGAAGTGCTGATCTGTGCTACCACCGAGACGAACTTTGAAAACACAAGGCAGTGTGAAAGGCGTCAGGCGGGAAATGTCACATTTTGTCTCGTTCTATTTGTCCAAAGTCTCCGAAGAGGCAAATCCATAGAAGGAGAAAGCAGAGTAGTGATTGGGAGGTGCTGGACCAGAGGGGACCAGGGACAGGTAAAGATCGGGGTAATCTGAGCTTTCCCTGGAGTCTCCAGTGGAACGCACTTGAAATGGAAGTCCTCCACCAGGACAGGGCTCAACCTGCCCCACCCCCACTGTACACCTCGCTCTCCTCGCCTTTGGTTCTCAGACCGTCTCCCTCACACCTTCCTTCTCCCAGCCTCTGAGTCCCCACTCCCCGATGGCTGGCCTCAGGTCACAGGGCCTCCAGTCAGAGTGATTCTCTCCGGAGGAGTGCACTGGGGATAAGTGGCACTCAAGTCTCATACAGTAGTGGATCTTTTTTTTCCATGTATTTTTTCTAAAATATATTTTATTGATTTTTTACGGAGAGAAAGGGAGAGGTATGATGAGAGAGAATCATCGACTGGCTGCTTCCTGCACGCCCCCAACTGGGAATCAAGCCTGCAACCCTGCAACCCGGCCATGTGCCCTGATGCGGAATCAAACCGTGGCCTCCTGGGTCCTAGGTCGATGCTCAGCCACTGCAATAGCTGGGTCTTTGGGGCAGGAGCGACTGAGGTCCAGAGAGCACACAGAGGGAGGGGAGCGCCTGGCTGGGGCAAGACCAGCAATGCAGGGCTTGGCTGGGGAATGCTGAGAGCGCAGAGGCTGCATCCCCTGTATACGGGTGGGCTGGCTGGGGGCCTGGGCTCCCCTGGCTCTGTCCCCAAGAGGGAGGACCGAGTGGGGCTGGGCTTGCTCCTGAGACGTGTGCTGGGCTGAGGGGACCCCTTGGCGACTGGTTTCTCTGGGCCTTGGCTGCGGCAGGCGCCTTCCCGGGGCCCCAGCTGTGCGAGGCTGCACAGGGTGTTCCTCTTCCAACTGCAGACCAACCCACCCGACAGGTTTGCTGATGAGCGAGCGCCCAGGTCCCAGGCCAAGAGGTGTGAGCGGCAGGCACTCCGCATTCCAGCCTTGGCTGCAGCTCTGCCAGCAGCCTCGCCGTGGCTCTCGGAAGTGCAGTCCCAACTTCAGGGCCAAGCAGGGAAGGAACTGGAGTACGAAGCCCCTTGGAGCCCCAGAAGGACTCTGAGCAACGGTGCCTGCCTTTCTCTCTATCCCCCCACTCCTTCCCTCACCCCTGTAGCCCTCCGTCTCTCACCCCATTCATTCCTTCTTCTCCTGCTGCCCGACCGACCTCCCTGTCTTCTCATCCACTAACCCCCCACCCCACTATCTTCTTCCTCCATTCTCTCCTTTCCTCTCTCCATGCTCTTTCCTTCCCTGTTCCCCGATTCCAC